CCCCAAAACCCCAAAACCCCAAAACCCCAAAACCCCTGCTATTTAGAGAATATAGAATAAATTTTATTATGGCTTACGGGAGTCAAAACCTTGAAGAACAAATTATTGAGTCTCTAAATTACATACCTGAAGATCCATTAGACTACCATGAATTTGATCATAATAAGAGTGATTGGGACAATGTCCCTCTAATTGTGACTAAATTTATCATCTTCCTTAGTAGAAATTTCCAAGGGCTTTCAAAGAAATGAAAGCATAAATTTAGTGAAGAGACTACAAAATAATGTCAGAGTTGACCTTCAACAACAAATTAACAAGATTACTGAAGACTTAACTGAAGATAATTAAAAATTTAATGCAAACTCAGCAAGAATTCAAGATCAAAATCCAAGATTTGAACCAAAAGTTTCACGAATTAGAAGAAACCTTCAAAGAATCTAAGAAGTTCAGCGAGACAATGGCTACAGACAACATGTATGACTTAATTTCAATTCCCTCTCGCAATGTGGATCTTACTTCTCGGTTTCCTTCTTACAATGAGCTTTCTAAAGAAGAAAAGCTAGAGAAAAAGCAGCTATATTGAGGTAAGAAGATGAAACAAGGAATAAATAATCCAAATTTCGAAGCTTCTTGGATGAATGACGATGAGTTCTCTAATCCGAAATACTCAAGAGCAAGAATGTTCACACTTAATCAAATTAGGGATTTGATCTATCTTCATCTCTCAAGATCTGATCTGCGTAAGAAAGCTTGCCGGCATGAAAATTTGGTAGATTATCATGACAACGCGATATTTGATCAGAATAGAGACAGTAGGAGATTTCAAGTTGAGGTGGATGAGAAATTCACAAATACCCGTGAGTTACAAGAAAAGACAAACACAGAAATTCAGGAGTTAATTCTTAGGTACAACAAACGAATTACAGACATTAACAGGACTCTCTCTACAAATGAGAAGCAATTGTTCATGCTTAGAGAGGACTCAGATTACCTTCAAAAGCACTTAGATATAACAAAGGTAAAAATTATCTTTACTTTAGGCCAAAACGGAAATACTGGATGACAAAATTGCTAAAGTACATTCATATTTTGAGGGTAAAATTGCTGAGCAAAATCAACAAATTCAGAAAGAAATCAAGAAAGCAAATCAATATATCAAATCAGAGTCTTCTAGATTAAGTAATATTCAAAAGAAGAGTAAAGAACTGCTTCTAGAAGTCATCGAGATCAATAAAGGCACTATTATTTCTGATGTGAAAGAAGAAATGGAAAATGTCAAAGTAATTCCTCTCTAAATCTTTAGATGTGCTTGGAAACCACACAAGAAGCTATAGAAAAGGCTCTGAAGGATAATTCAGAGGAGAATCAGATCAGAGTCTCCAAGATCAAAGGAATCTGCTCAAAATATTTTGAAAAATATGATAAAGTAAACATTGCTGTAGAGAAATAAATTCGAAAAGGTAAATCTTACTTTCGAAGAATGGAAAGAGAAGGTGCTTAAACCTCTTAATATGAGTGAAGCAAGATTATATACTACAGAGGTCAGGATAAAAGAGGTAGAAGGGAAAATTTATTCGAACTTTGCACATTCTAAAGAGATGTTTAAGAAGCTGATCTTCGCATTGGAGCAAGAGAATTTATCACATAAACCATCTTTATCAGCATCTATCCAAAATGCTATAGCTCATAATACTCGAGGATCTTCAGGAGATGCGTCTCATAGTCCAAGAAACAGTGATATGAACTTCATATTTTTAAAGAGATTGCTATTTTTAAAGAATGAAATTAATGAACAATCTGCAGGTAGCTCTTATGCATAAAATTTGTTTGATGAGTTATATTTTCTTCATAAATTAAGAAAACATAGAAATAATACAATTTTTGTGGCATTTTATTAATGCATTCTAGCATTTCCTTGCATTTTGACAAAGTTTCATGCTTAAAAATTATGAGTAATTTGTACAATGATGTTACGTATCTTTAGGAATTTCTAGCATTATATAGAAGGATTCGAGCCTGAAGAAATTGAGAAGAACACACGGATAAAGACTCCTAGCTTTCATATAAAGAAGAAAGTTTCTAAAATTTCAACAGATTTGTTCATGCCAAAGCCAAGGATGGGGACTGTGTCTGTAAAGCATCGAAAGAAGAGCTTAAGATCTACGAGCCCCATTAAGATGTTTAAGTCAAAAGATTTCCAATCAAAGAACAGTAATCTCTATTTATACCTAACAGTTGTTGTAGACTCCAAGATAAAGTTAGATATTTTTAAAAAGTCCATATATGGGGGTGCCCAGATTTTAGGTAAAAGTTTCTTGGACAAAAACCCCAAGCACGCCCAGAGCTTGAGTATGCATATTGACCAGATCAGGAAGGAGGCTACCAAGAGTTATGATCTTAAGGATATCTCTTCACAAATATTAGGATAAAGTCTCAGTACTTTCAATAAAAACTCTTCATGCCGGGGTTTTGGGGTTTTGGGGTTTTGGGGTTTTGGGG